GAAACCCTGTCTCGAAAAACCAAATAAATAAATAAATAAATAAATAAATAAATAAATAAATAAATAAATAAATAAATAAATAAAGTGGAAGGCTGGGCGGTGGTGGCGCACGCCTTTTATCCCAGCACTCAAGAGGCAGAGGCAGGCGGATCTCAGTGGGTTTGAGGCCAGCCTGGACTGTTACACAGAAAAACCCTATTTTGAAAAAAATAAATAAATGAAGGAAGGAAGCAAGCAAGCAGTGGAGGACCAGAGAGAGGCTGTACCATTTATGAGTGCACAGAGCACATACTGCTCTTGCAGAGGACCTGAGTTCAGTTTCCAGCACCAGTGTCCTGCAGCTCTAACTGCCTGGACCTCCAGTTCAGGGGAATTGATGCCCTGTATGGGTACTTGCACTTATATGCACATACCCCCGTAGAGACACACATAATTTAAAAGGAAAGGAGGAGGCCGGTCGGGCAGGAAATAGACCACTAATATTAAGATACTAAATACAGACATTTAATTTATTGGCCATTTGTTTTTAATAGTAAACTTTTTTGTAAGAAGATTGAAAGACTGTTTGATCCTGAGTACTTCAATCCAGATTCTCGAAACAATGCAGCAACATTATATAGGTAACATGTTTTTCTTGGTATGCTATTTAATATACCTGTATTATTTGATTTACTACATTAAATTCTTTTCTTGAGTCTTTTTGACATTTCCTTTTTGTTATAGATGCTGTTTGTGTAAGAAACTTTTAACCAGAGAAACAGAAAGAAGAATTCCTTGCATCCCTGGAAAAATCAATGTGGATCGACATGGAAATATTGTCTACATCCACATAAGGTGCAGTGAAGAAAATATACAGTTTTTGTGTGTGAATTTCAAGAGTACTTATAAAAACATAACTTAATTTTTTTTCCCTAGAGCTGAGGACTGAACCCAGGGCCTTGTGCTTGCTAGGCAAGTGCTCTACCACTGAGCTAAATCCCCAACCCCTTAATTTTCTGGTTTATTAGGACAAAGTCATGTTTGCTGTATAGTCTAAACTAACTTTGAACTTACTGTTCTCCTGCCTCAGCTCCCAAGTGTCAGAATTATATGCAGGCGTCACTACACACGTCCTGTGTGACTCCTTTTTAAGGACTAGGAGAGCACCTGAGTGTCTATCTTACTTTGACGTAGAAAAACGCTGCTTTAAAACAAAGTTATTATAAAAAGCTACCTTATATTTACTGGGTGAGTTTCACCATGTCCTAAAATTTCAAAATGTTACAAATTATTAAATATTAGTATTAAAAGATTCTAGTCAGTGCCATTAAAATGATTCACCACTAACATTTTTGTTATCTGTTATATTGAATTTTACAAGAGAACTAAATTTATTTTCAGTTGATTTTTTTTTCAGTTTTTTTTTCAGTTGATTCTTGAATGAAAAAAATTAAGGTTGGAGTTTCTATATCTTTTCTTCATACTTTGTCATACTTCATTAGCATATAATACATATTCATGCTTATATTTAATACAAGATTCCATTCTGAGTTGGTGAACTATCTCAGAAGAGCAGAAACTTTCTGGATGAGTGTGTTCTTTGATAATATTCTATTGCTAGGAATTTTTGCAAAGAGGTATTGTTGAGTCTGTGAAAGCATTTAACAAGGTCATTGCCATATTAAGTATATTAACTAGCTTCCCTCCTTCCAAGAAATCCAAATGACTGAACAAGCTAAAATACAGCCATATATATAGTAGTGTGTGTACAGGTGCACAGACATGCATGCAGGCAAAGAACCACACACAAACTAATGTTTTAAGATTACAATAAGCTTTTGGCTGGGGCTGATGATTGCCACAGTGCCTGACGACTTGAGTTTAATCCCCAGGACTCGCAGAGTGGAAGGAGAAAACAGACTTGACTAAGCTCTCCGCTGACCTCTACTGGCACTCAGTAAATAAATAAATGTGATTAAAACTTTAGATTGTAGGAATGGAGAGATGGCTCAGAGGTTTAGAGCACAGCCTGTTTCCAGAGGTCCTGAGTTCAACTCCTGGCAACCACATGGTGGCTCACAACCATCTGTAATGAGGTCTGGTGCCCTCTTCTGGCCTGCAGACATACATGCAGACAGAACACTGTATACATAATAAATAAATCTTTTTTAAAACTTTTTAAATTGTAATTTAAAACTATAAAGGGTAGGGCTGGTGAGGGGGCTCAGCTAGTAACGGTGCTTTGCTAGGACACCTGGTGACCCGAGTTGGTTCTCAGGGCCTGTGTGATATGGGAGAGGAGATATGACGTCACAGAGTTGTCCTCTGACCCACACCCACACCCACACACGCACACCAAGAAGAAATCAATTATTTTAGGAAAACCAAGTGCTGAGGATGTAGCTCAGAGGTGGAGTGCTTGACTAGCATGCACAAGGCACTAAGTTTGATCCCTAACATACGTAAAAGAAAGGAAATGAGAGAGGGGGGTGTTCTTATAGAGGAGAATACCTTACATGAAGTTGTTCATAGTCATCTTTAATACATGTAACACACAAAACAAAACAGACTGGGGACATAATTCGTTGGCAGAGTGCTTGCTTAGCATGCATAATGAAGTCCCGGGTTTGACCCTCAGCACTGCAGACTCAGGCATGGGGCGCATACCTGTGATCACAGCACTCAAGTCATCCTGGGCTACAGAGTGTTCAAGACCAGCCTGGGTGAACGAACGAGTGTGTGTGTGTGGGTGCGTGTGTGTGTGTGTGTGTGTGTGTGTGTGTGTGTGTGTGCATGCGTGTGTGTGTGTGTGTGTGTGTGTGTGATATACCACTTTAAAGAACATACTCACTAAAATACTGACTGCTGCGTCTGGACGGCTCTTTCTCTGTACTGAAAATGTGAGTGGGCTGGCGAGACGCTCAGTGCCTAAGCGCCTGCTGCACAAGCGCGAGGACCTGGGTTCAGGTCCCCAGCGCCCACCCAGGTGTGACACATAGTGGTGTGACACAGAGGCTGGGGCAGAGGGCCCCTGAAGCTCTGTGGTGAGCCAGTGCATCCAGAGCAGTGAGCTCCAGGCTCAGTGACGCTCCCTGTCTGAGAACACTTAGATGGCGAGTGATAGGGGAAGAGACCTGACCTCGTCCTCTGGCCTCCATACAAATGGCCAAGTTCACCCACATATACATGTTCAAACATGCAGAGACCACACATACAAAGTAATCTTTAAAATCTATAACCTGCATGTATACACACACATATACCCACATGAAAGCATACATCCATTATGCAAGCACACATGCACACACCTATAACCGTAGCCAAGTGTGGCTTACGTATGTAATCCAAGAACTTGAAAAGTGAAGGAGGGGCTGGAGAGATGGCCCAGCAGTCAAGAGCACTGGCTGCTCTTCCAGAGGACCCAGGTTCAGTTCTTAGCACCTACATGGCGTCTCACAGCTGTCTGTAACTCCAGTTCCAGGGCATCTGGTGCCATCTTCTGACCTCTGTAGGCACTGCACTTAGTTGACGCACAGACATACATGCAAACAAAACACATACAATAGGGTATTTTTTAAATAAGCAAATTGTCTTTAAAGTTGGACATGGTGTCTCCATGCCTCTGATCCCAGCCTTGGGAAGGGTGATTTAGGAGGGTCACTGCAGGTTCAAGGCTAACCTAGGCTGTAGAGTGTGATCCTGTCTTAATTTTTAAAACTTGTCTAAATAATTTTTAAGACAGATGTGCCTGTGTGATTTGTAATAACATATTCACACATTGTTATTTGCTGAACTAAGCACAAAAATCACCAAATTTTTAAAGTTACAAATGGAGCCTTAGAAAGAAGCTGGATGTGGTAGCCCACCCTCATAATTCCAGCATTTCTGGGGCTCAGGCAGGAAGAGCTCAGTTTTTGACGCCCACTGAGCTATGTAGCAAGTTCCAGGCCAGCTTGGGCTATCTAGTAAGAACCTGCCCCACATAAATAAATAAACACACACACACACACACACACACACACACACACACACACACACACACAGTACAGTTACATGTGGCCATAGCAAATATGGTTTATGCCTTTGCTGGTTGTTAAAATGTGTATAATGAAGACCTGGTTGTATAATACTGTATTGCTCAAATGGAAAATGCTGTTTAAGAATAATGTAATAAGCCTTTATGTTGTTGAAGTATTTAGGAGCACTAATAATTTATAGCAGCACACCTTACAACATGCACAGTTCAAATAAAAATCTCAGATCTCACGAGATGGCTTGGCAGGCAAAGATATCTGTCACCAGGCCTAGTGACCTGAAGTTGACCCCTGGAACTCCCAATATGAAGGAGCAAACTGACTCCCACAGATTGTCTTATGACCTACAGACACGCACACGCATACACTCACACTCACGCATGCCATGGCACATGCACTCTCACACACCCACTTACATAAGCAGTAAACAACTTTTAAAAAGTAAAAATGAAATAAAGGTCCTTTTAGCCAACATTGCATGATTCTTAACTGCTGACCTGTTCAAACTGTTTAATTAATACTATTTTAGCTCAACAAAATAAGTGTGTATCCAGCCTTCTCATACCTTCTTCTGTTGTCTAAAAAATAAAGAAATTGTACTTAATTTCAGTGTAGTCCATACCACACTGTCATTTGAAGAGTGTTCTTGGAAACAAGCCACAAATGTTAAGATATTTGGTTAAAAAAATTGTATTTCTCACTTAAAATAATCGAGGCTTTTTCTCTAGAGATAAAACCTGGGATGTACATGAGTATTTGAATAGTCTTTTTGAAGAATTAAAATCTTGGAGAGATGTATACTGGCGCTTGTGGGGAACGATCAACTGGCTGACGTGTTCAAGGTGTTACCAGGTGAGGTTTTCAAGACAGTAGTGGTGAGAATAGTGGTCTGCTACTCGGTGTTTGCACCTGCCTTTATTTCTTCCTCTCGTGCATATTGCTGACACAGTTCTTGTCAGACTTCCAGAAAAGCAGCAGATTCTTTGTTATCTGATCCAGTTTTTCACTGTAAAAACATAGAATCTTCACTGCTTTTGTTGGCAGCCAAACTGTTTCTCCACTGGGCCATAAATTTCCTTAGAGATTCAGAGTCTTTGGGCCATTTGTTGTCTTGGTTTTCAAGACAAGGTGTTACCATGCAGCCTTCACTGGCCTGGAGCTTATGATCCTCAGCTCCCTGGTGTTGCTAGTATAGGTGTGTGTGCACAGGTGTGCATGCACAGGTATGCACCACCACACCTGTGCTTTTTGGTGACGATTGCATTTCCCAAAATATTTTGTTCCCTCCCTGAACCCCAGCACCAGGTCTCCAAAGTTGGATCTCAAGCTGTAACACTGAACTGTATTCACAGCCTTGTTCGTGGTTTTAATGATTTAAATTTAGAACAAAAGCACAAGTAGGTTAGTTCCTGAAGGCACGTATGATGACTTTCTGCAGTCACAGTCATTCCTAATTAGTCTTCTGTAAATCAAGGTTTTCTACATCAAATCTCATATGAATGCCCTTCCTTTAGATTTCTCTCACTTGATTTTTCAGTAGAGGGAAGGAGAAACAGGTCATCAAAACCATCAGAGTTTGGAATGTCAGCTCATATGAAAGACCTACTCACTGGGCTAACCCTGGGCTTATTGGAGTATATCTTTTTTTTAAAATTTATTTATTTATTATGTATACAGTGTTCTGCTTGCATGTATGTCTGCATGCCAGAAGAGGGCACAAGATCTCATTACAGATAGTTGTGAGCCACCATGTGATTGCTGGAAATTGAACTCAGGACCTCTGGAAGAGCAGTCAGTGCTCTTAAACCTCTGAGCCATCTCTCCAGCCCCTGGAGTATATCTTATAGAGAGTACTACTCATCCATTTTTGTGTGGCTGATATGTACAGTGATGTTACCACCATCAGGGCATAGACAATTTCATTATTGTTTGCCTATGCTGTTTTTAGATCAGCTCCTCCTTAATGGTTGACACTCACTGTCAAAACTGTGTGTTTGATCCATAGTTTCTCCTTTTCAGAGTGCCGTTAGATAGAATCATACAGTATTTGGTTACTTGAGTGGACATTCTTTCACTCAATAGAATGAATTTGAAATTCAAACATGTTGTTGCCTGTTACCATTTTCCCCTTTTATTGCTGAGAGCCTTCTGTCGTGTGGATTACACAGTGTGTTAACTGTTCACCAGCTGACACACATTTGTAGGCTTCTAGTTTGGAGCCATTGTGAACACAATTGCTATAAATATTCCCAGTCAGGTTTTCTTACAAGCATGGGCTTTTAAGTCTCTTGAGTGATTACCTAGAATTGGAACTGCAGTATGATAATCTAAGTTACCATTTTCTAAATTTCCTGAGTCCTTTTGCATTCCTTCAGCCGTGTATGAGCATGGTAATTGTTCCATGTCTTGTTAACACGTTTGGATATTTGTCATTGTTGTTAAACTAATTGTTAATTTTGTTTTTGCCTTTTGAGTTTTTTATGAACTTACACATGGATTTGGAACCCATTTCGTAACCATACCATGGCAAGTTATTTTCTTTAATGACTACAAGTTAGGCCACAGTTTTCACTAATACTGACACTAAGTATCAAGAAAATCAAGGAATAACCAAGTGAGGTGAAATTATTTGATATTTCACTGGAATTTTTAAAAATTAGTGATCAGTTTTAAAATTAGGTGTATATACTAAGATCAGCTTTACTCATTTGGATTTTTAATAAAGCACTTTTTGGTTTTGCTTTTTAGAAACTTCTTTGGAATATAAGTGTGTGCTGTAAAATTCATAATTATATAATTTATTGATTTTTTTTTCGGAGAATTCCCACAGTTGGTACCACTTACTGTATGCCATCCAGTTCTAGTACATTCCCATCTCATAAAGAGCCTCATGCCCATCTGCTTCCACTTTTTTTTTTTGGAGGGGGCTTTCGAGACAGGGTTTCTCTGTGTAGCTTTGCGCCTTTCCTAGAACTCACTCTGTAGACCAGGCTGGCCTCGAACTCACAGAGATCCACCTGGCTCTGCCTCCTGAGTGCTGGGATTAAAGGTGTGCGCCACCACCGCCCGGCTCCACTCAGTTTTCTTGCCTCAAATCCTGGCAAGTGTTCATCTATTTTGAGTCTCTGTAGATGGACCTTTTCTGTGCATTTCATATAAATGAGACATGCAGTATACGGTCTTCAGAAAAAAATATTTTTGAGGAATATTTCACTGTGGGATAGTTGTTGATTTTTATATATTTCTTTTACCCAGGCTTTTCTCTGTATTGAATTCTCGCATTGTCAGTATCACACAGAAATGGTAGTTTATTCCACCACAATAAGTTCACTGAGCACTGTGGGCACTGGAGTTTATCCCTGCTGTAACCAGAAGGTTCTTCGATTTGATCCCACTCAGCTCAAAAAGGTAAGACTTTCTGTTTTAATCTTTGATTAAGCTTTGAAAATTTCCTATATCTATACAATGTATATCGATCATACCCGTCCACCCGTCTCCCTCCAGCTCTCCCTACCTCCCCACTTCATCTCCCTCCCACCTTCCTGGCTTTTACTGTTATTAATAACCCTCTGAATCCAGTTATTTTTGCCAGAGGAACTACAGGTAAGTTTTTAATATTCCCTTTTATAGTTTAGCTGCCCCTAACATTTTTATGTAAAATCTTTATCTTTTTTTAAGTGTAACTACATCAACATTAAAAAAAAAAAAACTTCAAAGAGTACATACAGAAGTAAAGAAAGAAATACAAATCCCTCTTCCCACCACTCCCCAGTTTCTTAGAAGTAACAGCAGTTAAGTTTGCTTTCAGTTCTTTTTTATTTAATCACTTGGACAGTGTGATAATATATCTGACTACATTTCTCCCTGCACACTCTCTTCCCCTCGCCGCTCTCTACTGTTTCCCCACCCTTCCTTCTAGGAAGTCCCCAGCCCACTTTCCTGTGTTTTTGTGTGTGACACACTGGATGTAACCAGACTCACTCACATAGGCTTTGTTTTGAAACTTATCCAGAGCATGGATAAGTCCCTAAAGGCAATGACTCCTCCTCCAGCAGCCCTCAACTGCCATAAGCTCCTCTGGGTAGGGTCAGGTTCCATTAGCCCTTCCCCATCTATGACTGAATATTTACTACAAATTTAGTCTTGGGCCAACCCTACCACACAACCACAGCTGTTTTGAGTTCATGAGTACCATGACCATGTCAGACCCACAATTCAGGATTTGATGGTCCTCCCTCAAGATCATCCAGCTCTTCCATTCTCTCTGTTTCCTCTCCCATAATGTTCCCCGAGCCTTAGAAGACAGTTTATGTTTACTGCTCTGTAGGGGGCTGGAACTGAGAGAGTGGAGCCTGAAAATGAGGAAGACTAGTCTCATCCAATAGCCAACTTTATTCAAAGCATCAGACAATTTATACTGTGAGGGTTAAGAAAGGTCACCTAGGTAAAGTTCTCATGAGTTCAAGCTGTACATAATGACAAAAGCAAGCTGCATGTGGCAGAAAACCTGTTTTTCCATAGAGGCAGCTAAACAAATAACAATAGGCAGCTGTAGTGAATTACCTAAAGCACACTCACTCCTGTCTGCTGCACCTGGAAGGGACACAAAAGCACACTCCAAGAACGGTTCCATGGTTTTGAAGAAAGTGAGGTCATAAGACTCTGTTTTCTTGGAGTTTCCTCACAAGCACTCAGAAGTCCCCTCGAATGATTCCGTTCTTGGACCATGTTCTGACGACAGTGTGGATCTCCCAGTTAAGGGTAGTCACTCCGCAGTCACATGTTCTCTGAACCTTGACTAGCCATGAGCCTCTGCAGTAACCTTAGTGTGTTGCAAGAGAAGTTTTGTTGGTTCGAGCTAAAAGCAGCATAGACCTGGGCCAGCTCCAGCATACTCCCCACTTCATAGTCTCTGCTACCATGTGTTCTGGATCTGTTTCTTTCCTTTTTCCCAAAGAATTATGTGAGCCAGGTGTGTTGGTTCACACCTGTAATCCTAGCATTCGGGAAGCTAAAGTGGGAAGATTGCCAAGAGTTCAAAGCTAGCCCAAACTACATGGTGAATTTCAGGCTAGCCTGGGCTGCAGAATAGAACCCTGACATAAGAAACAAAACAAATACATTTTAAACTGTTGGTAAGGTTGTTGTTGTCGTTGTTTGCTTTTTGAGTGTTTCTTTGAGTCGGGTGTTACTGGATATGTTATACTCCTTTAAAAAAAAAAAAAAAGGATTATTCAGCCGGGCGGTGGTGGGGCACGCCTTTGATTCCAGGCAGGCGGATCTCTGTGAGTTCGAGGCCAGCCTGGTCTACAGAGTGAGATCCAGGACAGGCTCCAAAACTACACAGAAAAGCCCTGTCTCGAATCCACCCCCCCCCACCCCCCAAAAAGTTTTCTTGTGCGTGTGTGTTTTGTCTGCTGCTGAGCATGTGTACCACATGTGTCCTGGTGTCCATGAAGGACAGAAGAGGGCATTGGATCTCCTGCAACTGATTGGTTGTAAGCCACCATTTGGGACCTGGGAACTGAACTTGGATCTTTGGCAAGAGAAACAAGTGCTCTTAACAGCTGAGCCATCTTTCGAGCCCATTTTTTAAAAAATTCTTCTCTCATATATTACATCCTGACTGTAGTTTCCCCTCTCCCCACGACCCCTCTAGATCCACTCCTCATTTCCCTCCCAGGGGATCAAGCAAACACGGCATATCAAGTCACAGTAAAACCAGGCACATGCCCTCATGGTAAGGCTGGACAAGGCAACCCAGTAGGAGGAAAAGGGCCCCAAAGCAAGCAAAAGAGTCAGAGACAGACCCTGCTCTGACTGTTAGTAGTCCCCAGGAACACCAGGCTACACAAACATATATGAAGAGGACATGGGTCAGAGCCACACAGGCTCCATGATTGTTGCTTCAGTCTCTGAGCCCTGCTTAGTTGATTGGGTGAGGTGTTTCCTTGGGTGTCTCGGCCCCTCTGGCTCCTAAAATCCTTCCTGGCCCTCTTCTGCAGGATTCCTTGAGCTCCGCCTCATTGTTTGGCTGTGGGTCTCTATATATGCTTTCATCAGATGTTGCTGAATAAAGCCTCTCTGATGATGGTTATGCTAGGCTCTGGTCTACAAGTATAGCGGAGTATCATTAGGATCATTTCATTGATCTTTTTGGTGGTGGTGGTTGTGTTTGGATCTCTGCTGGATCTCTAGGCTGTCTGGGCTCCTAGCCCTCCAAGCAGTGTCAGGTGTGGGCTCCCTCTTGTGGCATGGGTCTCAAGTTGAACCAGTCATTGGTTGGCCACTCCCACAAGTTCTGTGCACCTTTACCCCAGCACATCTTGTAGGTAGGACCAATTGTAGCTCAAAGGTTTTGTGGCTGGATTGGTGCCCCAATTCTTCCACTGGAAGCCTTGCCTGGTTACAGCAGATGACCGGTTCAGGTTTCATATCTCCACTAATAGGAAGGAGAAGTCTTTGCTAGGGTCACCCTAGTGGATTTCTGGAAGTTTCCATTGCATTAGCTTTCTGCCTCACCCCCTGTTGAAAATTCTCTATTTAGATCTGTACCCAATTTCTTAATTGGATTATTTGGTTTACTGATGTCTAGTTTCTTAAGTTCTTTATGTATTTTGGATATTAGCCCTCTGTCAGATGTGGGGTTGGTGAAAATCTTTTCCCATTCTGTAGGCTGCCATTTTGTTCTATTGACGGTGTCCTTTGCCTTACCGAAGCTTTTCTGTTTCAGGAGGTCCCATTTATTAATTGTTGGTCTTGGTGCCTTCGAGGTTGATGTTCTGTTCAGGAAGTTATCTTCTGTGCCAATGCGTTCAAGGCTATTTCCAACTTTCTCTTCTATCAAGTTCAGTATATCTGGTTTTACATTGAGATCTTTGATCCACTTTTTGGACTTGAGTTTTGTGCAGGTCAATAGATATGGATTTATTTGCATTCTTTTACATGCTGACATCCAGTTAGACCAGCACCATTAGTTAAAGATGCTTTCTTTTTCTATTATACATTTCTGACTTCTTTGTCAAAAATCAGGTGTCCGTAGGTGTGTGGATTTATGTGTGGGTCTTCAATTTGATTCCATTGATCTACTGTCTGTTTTTTATGTCAATACCATTTGGTTTTTATTATTATAGCTTTGTAGTTAAGCCAGAAATCAGGGATGGGGATACCTCTGGAAGGTCTTTTATTGTACAGAATTGTTTTAGCTCTCCTGGGTTTTTTGTTTTTCCATATGAAGTTGAATATTGTTCTTTCAAAGCCTGTAAAGAATTGTGTTGAGATCTTGATGGGGATTGTGTTGAATCTGTAGATTTTAGTAAGGTGGCCATTTTTTACTATGTTAATGCTACCAATCTGTGAGCATGGGAGTTCTTTCCATCTTCTGATATCTTCTCTAATTTCTTTCTTCAAAGACTTGAAATTGTTGTCATACAGGTCTTTCACTTGCTTGGTTAGAGTTACCCCAAGATGTTTTAGATTATTTGTGGCTATTGTGAAGGGTATTGTTTTATTGCTGTAGCTAGAACTTAAAATATTATATTGAATAGATATGGAGAGAGTAAACAGCCTTGTCTTATTCCTGATGTTAGTGGATTTGCTTTGCGTTTCTCTCACTTAATTTGATGTTGGCTATAGGCTTGTTGTAAATTGCCTTTATTATGTTTAGGTATGTTCCTTTGTATCCCTGATCTCTAAGACTTTTATCATGAAGGGGTGTTGGATTTTGTCAAGAGGCTTTTTCAGCATCCAGTGAGGTGATTGTGTGGTTTTCTTCTTTCAGTTTGTTTATATAGTGGATTACATTGATGGATTTTTCATCAATGCAGCAGATGCAACCATCTCTGCATCTCTGGGATGACACCTACTTGATTATGGTGGATGATCTTTTTGATATGTTCTTGGAGTCTGAAAGTAAAAAGGAGTATTTTTTGCATCAATGTTCATGAGGGAAATTGGTCTGTAATTCTCTTTCTTTGTTGAATCTTTGTGTGGTTTGGGTATCAGGGTGTCTGTGGCCTCAAAATGAATTTTGGTAATGTTCTTTCTGTTTCTATTTTATGAAATAATTTGAGGAGTATTGATATTAGCTCTTCTTTGAAGGTCTGGTAGAATTCTGCACTAAAACCATGTCTTTGTTGGGTGTGTGTTTTGTTCCTTGGTTTCTGTTTCCTTTCTGGTCTTCTTGCTGGAATGGTCTGTGGTTCAGTAGAGGGTCTCCACCCAAGCTGGGGGCTGGATTTCTGAGGACTGGGGTGGCTTCTGGTCGAGTACGGGGGTTCTGCCCGAGTTGGAGATTGGAGTTCTGGCAGCCATAATGACCTCTGGTCCAGTCAGGGGTCCTCTGGGGTTCTGGGTGCCACTGTGGCCTCTGGGGATCTAGGTGCTGGAGTGGCCTCTGATGGAGCAGGGGGCTTCTGCCAGAGATGTGAGTCAAGATAGGGTCCCATTTTTTTTTTTTAAAGCTAGATTTTCATATATCCCCGGCTGTCTCAGATTTGCTAAGTAGCCAAAAATGGTCTTGAATGTGTGGTCTTTTTGCCTCCATGTCCTGAGTGCTGGGATTACAGGCCTGTGCCACCACCCTTGGTTTATACAATACTGAGGGTTGATCTAGAGTTTCTATGTATTCTGGACAAACCATTCTATCAACTGAGCCATCCCCAGTCCAAAAAGGCTTTTTTGGTGTGGCTTTTGCTTTGTTTTGTTGTTTGTAGTACTAAGCCTTGAACTTGGACCCTCACACATGCTAGACAAGTGCTCTACTACTAAACTGTATTCCCATCCCTTATTCACGCAACAGCTTACTTAGGTTATCTTTTTGTGTCCTTTTATTTGACTTATAATGTATTTAATCATTCTCTTAGTAAAGAACATTTAGGTTGTTTGCGAATTGATGCTGTTATCTTGTCACAGTGAACATCCTTGCATATATGTCTTGGTGTGATAACTGAGTACTAGTATAGGTTAGGTTCCTTGATCACTAACATTTTTTAATTATTAAATTTATTTGGGGGGTATTACCATGGCACACTTGTGTCTTCAGAGTACAATTTGCAGCAGTCAGTTCTGTTCTACCATGTGGCTACCAGGGGTCAAACTCAGGTCATCAGGTTTTGTAGCAAGTACCTTTACCTGCAGAGCAGTCTTACCAGCTTAATTACTTTTTTTTTTTTTTTTTAGTATTTTGAACATTGAAATTTTAAATTTCATGAGAGAATGAAAGGAATCTAATATGCACTAAAATTGAGCCGTACACAGATGTGAGGGTGATCTCGCTGTGAAGTGTCACCCACTGATCCCCAGGGTTGGTTCAGGTGACCTAGTTGATGAGATGAGTTTCTCTTTCTCACTCACAGCTCCACGTGTGTTTGTTCTGAAGCTGCACACCAGTGGAAGAGTGTACAAGTAGACCAGGCATGGTGGGTCACACCGTTAATCCCAGCACTCTGGAGGCAGAAGCAGGCGGATCTCTGAGACTGAGAGGCCAGCCTGGTCAACATATTGATTTCTAGGACAGCCAGGTCTGCATAAAGAGACCCTCTCTCAACAAATAAATAAATAGGAAAAATATATAGTCATACAGTGGAATACTATACATTAAAGCAAATATTGCAGTTACATGTAGTAGCGTGGTTTAATTATAAAAATATAATGTTAAAGAAAGCAAGGCAAAACTAAACTCTAGTGTCTAGGCATACCAGTAAGAGGCAAAAGGACAGAGAGAGAAGAGGTGACTGTCAGCCCCGCACACAAGGCAGAGGCTGTCCTTTGAGAGGAAGGGGGAATAGAAGCAGGAAGGGCTACTGAAGTGTTCTGTTCCCTTTTTAAATTAATACCTGTGGGAGGACACACATGCCACAGAGGGTGTGTCGACACCAGAGGACAACTTGGAGGGCTGGGTTCTCTCCTTCTGCTGTGTGGGCTCCAGGGTCAACGTTAGGACATCAGACAGGGGCTTGAGCAATCTCTCCATCCCATGGTTGTTGGTTGGTTGGTTGGTTTTGTTTCTTAAGGTTTATTTTATTTGTGATTATGTGTGTCTGTGTTTGGGTATATACATGTGAGTGAAGACACCTACAGAAGCCAGGTGTTAGATAACCTGGAACTGGAGTTCTAGGTGGTTGTGAACTACCTGATGTGGGTGCTGATAATTAAATTCTGTTCCTCTGCAAGAGCAATACATGCCTTAACCACCCAGCCATAGCCCTAGCCCCCAATGCTTTTTAATGTGAATGGTGATTATCTCAGGTGTTTGTTCATATGTACGTTTATATTTCAATTTCTTTTCTGTATTTTTTAAGGGAAAAGTGTAAAATATGATGATTTGACTGAAAAAAGATAATTATGATTTGTAAAATATTTTCTTCATTCTTGAGAATTTAATATAGGTATAAAATGAAATATGATCATATCAATCTTCATTTCTCCCTCCAGCTCTCCCCATATGCCCACACATGCCCCCCTCCTAAGTTCACGTTTCTCTTTCTCTTGTTGATAACCCTCTAAGTTCAGTTAGGGCTGCCCTATGTGTGTACACGTATAGCCTTCCTCTGGAGCAAAGGGCTCCTACCAGTGGCCACCTTCTCCAAGATGAATGACTCCTCCCTAGTAATTATCAGCTGCCAGTAGCTCCTCAGTAAGGGGTGAAGTCTCAGTCCATCTAGCCTGTCTGGGCCACAGTTCAGATTGGCTTGATCTTAGTGTCTTAGTCAGTGTTCTGTTGCTGTGAAGAGACTCCATGACTACAGCAACTTTTACAAAGGAGAGCATTAAATGGAGCTTACATACAGTTTCAGTGGTTCAGTCCATTTTCCTCATGGCAGACATGGTGCTGGAGAAGTAACAGAGTTTTACATCTGGATCTGTAGGCAACAGAAGGGGAGACAACCACATTAGGCCTAGCTTGAGCATGTGAGACCATACACACTTCCTCCAACAGGGACCATGCCCACTCCAAGAGCACACCTTCTAATCCCGCCCAAGTACTGCCACTCCCTGATGACTAAGCATTCAAATATGTGAGACTATGGGGCCTTCTCATTCACACCACCACAACTGCTGTGAGTTCGTGAATGGGATACCCATGCCGTGCCCAGAAGACAGCATCTCACAGCACATCTTCTTGTCTTACACCCCTCCTTTTCTGTGATGTTCCCTGAGCTTTGGTGTGTGTGTGGCATGTTAACATACGTGTCCCATTTATGACTGAGCACTGCATCTCTTAAAAGATTGTTTATAGTGAACCTACCTCTAACAGTGTCTCTTATCTCTGACAGGGCTGTAAAGTGAGGGACCACATGGTTATTCTTCATGATCAAGGAGAAACTGATGATTTACTTTCTTGTCCAAGTGCTAGAATACTGGACGATCTACACAAGCACAGAGATGTCATTGTTGTGCCTTTTTGTAAAGATGTGGTGAGGTGAGGAAAAAGAACACTAAGTCTTAGCTTATTCAGTGGTTTGCATTTCGTGACCCCTCTCCCCGGTGTTGGCCCATGTCACCGTGTCTGTCCTGCTGTAGTCACTGTTCCCGAGTATTGAACTGAAGGGCTCAGGGAGGCCTTGGTGGTGCAGCAGCTGCCGAGCCCGGACGAGGACCTGCTTTGACCCCGGCATTGCCGTGCCTGTTCCGGGGAGGGAGGGTGTCTTAGTTAGAGTTTCTGTGATGAAATACCATGACCAAAAGCAAGTGGGGGAGGACAGGGTGTACTTGACTTATACCTCCACATTGTAGTCCATCACTGAAGGAAGCCAGGACAGGAACTCAAACAGGGCAGAAACCTGGAGGCAGGAGCTGCTGCGGAGGTCCCGGAGGAGTGCAGCTTATTAGCTTGTTCTCCATGGTTTTCCCACCTTACTTTCTCATAGAACCCGGGACCACCAGCTCAGCGGTGGCCCCACCCACAGTGGACTTCCCCACTCTCCACTCCCACCTCCGTCAATCACTGATTAAGAAGATGTCCTATGGCTTGGCTGCAGCCTGCTCTTGTGAAGACATTTTCTCCCTGCAGCTCTCTTCTCAAGTGACTCTAGCTTGTGTTCAGTTGACATGAACGTAGCCGGCATGGGGGGGAAGGACGGGGCGGGGGAAGTGTCTCTGAAATTATGAGGGTTTACACCAGGAACATAAAATAGAAAAACTAACAAAAAGAACTTGGTAACTAAAAATGTCCAGATGTTGAACCCAATTTTTGAAAATGTTGAGTTCTTTCCCCATCCCCCACCTCCACCCAGCCCTGGTCTCACACCATCATCCTGGGGATCACACCTCGGGCCTCGAGCATGCTGAACAAGCCTTCTCTCCACCACCGAGCTGTCTCCAGTGCCAGATTGACACAAACGGGGAAGAAGGTGATGGTTGGGATCATCTTTCCATAACTTTGCACTCTAAACTCGGTCGTTTCTGCCATCACTTCTGTCGTCCTGTGACCTAACAGGTTGTGGTTGGGCTGCGCTAAAAGAGGCTTTTTGGAGAGCAATGCGCACAGCAGCTTTTGATCACCCACCACCCGAGAGAGGGTTTTCCTGTGGAGCCGTGGGCCTCCACCACCCGAGAGAGGGTTTTCCTGTGGAGCCATGGGCCTCTTATGGGATGATCTGCTAGAGTAATTACTAGACATTAAAAATGTAAACATTTTCAGGCATAGTAGCACACGCCTTTAATCCCAGCACTAGGGAGGCAGAGGCAGATGATCTCTGAGTTCAAGACCAGCCTGGTCTACAGAGCAGGACTGTTCCAGAATAACCAGGGCAACACAGAGAAACCCTGTCTCAAACAGAGGTGGGGAAGTAAATCCTGAAGTGGCATCCTAATAGTTAAAAACTAAAATTCTATTTTTGTAGTAATAAGGATCAGGACTGAGGCCACTTGTAAGAACCTGTATTTCTTAAGCTATACAAAACATCTGTAGTAACAAAGTAGTCTGCATGTGTACAAAAGCAGTGCCTAAGGGAGCCAGAAAGGGGCCGCATTCCCCTGGAGCTGGAGTGGCCGGTGGCTCTGAGGCACAATGTTGCTACTGGACACCAAACCAGGTCCCTCCACAAGACAAGCAAGTGCTGAAATGGAAGAAATGGAATGTTTCTCTATAAAAATGTCCTTTTCATTCAAGTGACCCTGGGCTTGGCTCCTGTGATGAAAAGGGCCTGGAATATGATGTTTTACTGGAACCAAATACGCCATGGGGCCCCAAAACTGGGGAGCTCAATGCTGTGAGTAACTTTTCTATTTAATGTATGTATGTATGTAAATGTGAAACTACTGATGACACTTGGTCTTTGACAGGAACCTAGTCTGTCTAAATTGAAATTGAACTGATTATCCAGTCATAATATGATACTATGCTGAGTGAATAAAACTGTAAAGAGTGATAGGTAATATATTATTTGACTTCAAAGAATTGTTAACTGATACAATTTTAGAAAAAAAACCCTTATCTTCAGGCTTTCTATTATGGACAAATAATGAATTGAGGAATGAAGAAAACATAAATGCATGTTTTATTCCCTTCTTGTTCTATAATACATTTGTATGAAGTTTTTTATTTATTCAGAAATGTGTTTCATTTTTCAGAAGTTGTGAAAATGTAAAGGTGACAGAAGAGCTTGGATTCCCTGTGGTTCGGTTGATCCCTGACTGCAGCCCAGGGAATCTGTTAGCTCATCGTCATTGCCTTTGACGGTTGACGTAGAATTTACCTGAGGAAGTGAGAAACTCCAGAAACTCCTACATAAATAGGAGGTGGTGATAGTTATTTGAGAATTACATATAGGGGCTGGAGAGATGGCTCAGCGGTTAGAGCACTGCTCTTCCAGAGGCCCTGGGTTCAATTCCCAGCACCCACATGGCAGCTCACAACTGCCTGTAACTCCAAGATCTGACATCCTCACACAGACATACATGCAGGCAAAACACCAATGCACATGAAATAAGAGGAAATAATGTTAAAAAGAATTACGTATAAGCTCTACAGCAATGTGGCTCCTTAATTTGTAATAAATACAAACACGAAGGCGTTCTAGGAATAAAAGAGGAGGAAAGAATAAAGGGAGCAGAGTGAAAGAGACCGGAGAGACAGGGGTGAGGGGGAGAGAGCACATCCACTATTTTATACCCTCATGTAAGAGCGTAGGAGAAGCAGGTATCTCTCGGGAAGATGCCTTCTCGGGAGAGAGACCGGAGAGAGAACAGAGGAAAGCATGTTAGGAGAGAGGCAGGTGTGAGGGGAAGAACAGGAAAGAGGAGAAAGCAAGCGGAGAGAGGATGGAACAGCGAGCAGTGAGAGAGAGACAGAGAACGTGGAGAGCGGGAAGGATGGAGAGAAAGAGGAGAGAGGCAGTTGAAAGGGAGGAGGGGCAGTGTGGGGCAGTGGATCAGAGGGCAAACCCACCACTGCATGCAGGAACGTAAGAGCACAGAATCTGGGGAGTCTCTCAGGAAGATGAATTCTCCACCTTCAACATAACGTTGCTGTTTCCAGCTTTGTGACCCACAAACACCCATATAAATACACATAGATATGCATCTATATACATGTGTACATACATAGATATGTATGCATAATTTGAAACCTAGGTTCTCCATACACAAGAAAACAGGTAATATATGTCTGTCTAAGTTTGATTTATTTCACTTAATGTAATGATTTCCAGTTGCATCCATTTTCCTGCAGATGCCACTTTTCCATTTTTTATAGCTCCATTAAATTCCAGGGTGTGTCTGTACCATATTGTATTTATGCACTCATTCGTTGGTCAGCATCTAGTCTTCTAGCATCTTCGTCTGTCTCCTGGCTTTTGTGAAGAGCACCACACTAGACATGACTATGTGACTGTCTCTGTAATCTGCTGAGCTGAGGTCGCCTGAGCGTGTCCAGAAGGACTGCTGTGCTGGGTCAGGTGACAGGTCTAGTCTCAGTTCGAGGGGACCTCCACACTGATTCCCTAGGGCTTCACAGTACACGCCCTGCTGGCAGGAAACCAGGGCTGCTCTCTGCATCCTCACTGGTGTTGGAGCCATTTGTTTTCCGGATGCTGCCATGCGGGGCAGGGGTTCTAAAGATTTAAATTATTTCAGTCTGGACGTGAGCCACACCTGTAACCTGTTGTTCCTCTGCCTTTCAGTTCTTGTCACTGAAAAACTGGACTCTGCAGTTGGTAAGTGAGCCACTGGATTCTGTTTCTGTGGACTTCTTGCTTCCATATTGGAGTTTGATAATGAAATCTTAGCACTTATTTTACAAACTTTGGTTAAGTGCCATCTTGTCTGCCTTTCCAGTTTCACTCTTACTAAGAAAATGCCATAGATGATTTCAGAAAAGATGGAGCCTGATGTGGTGACTCAGGCCTGTAGTCCCACCATTTGGGAAGCTAAAGCAAGATTCTAGTTACAAGACTTTAAAAAAAAGTCTGTGTATCACCAGTGTCAGGTGCCCTTGGAGGCCAGAAGAGGATGTCGGAACCCCTGAGCAGGGGTTACCAGAGATTATGAGCCACCTGGCCTGAGCCCTGGACACTGAACTGTGGTCCTCTGTAAGAGCCCAGAGCAGAAGGTGTTCTTACCACTGAGCAATCCCTCCGGGCCCTAGTTAAAAGACTTTAAAGTCACCTTTAAATCACATTCAGGGACTTGTTAGATGGCCCAGCAGTTAAGGGTGCTTGCCAGCAAGTCTCACGACCTGAGTTCAAGTCCTAGGACCTGCAAGGCAGAAGGAGAGAACCGACTCCTGCTGGTTTTCTTCTGACCTCTGCATGTGGTCACATACTAAGTGATTAAATAGACCAATGTGATTATGTCACACAGGATATTAAAAACAGTCTAATAAGTTCTTTTTTTGTCAGGCGTCTTGTTTATTTTGTTTTTTGGTTTGGCTTCTCAGATAATTCCTTGTTGCCCAGGCTGGCCTGGGATTTGCTGTGTAACTGAGGATGACTCGGAATTCCTGATCCTCCTGCCTCTACCTTCCCAGTGCTGGCATCACTAGCATGTACAACTGAATTGTATTTGTTTGTTTATTTTGTTTGTTTGTTTTGAGACAAATTCTCTATGTACAGAACAGGCTAGCTTCAAATTTACCATACTTCTGCCTTGGCCTCCCAAGTGCTGACGTTACCATACCCAGCATTTCATTAGTCCATTTTAAAAATATTTATTTTAACCTGTGTGTGTGTGTTTGTGTGTGCGCACAGAGGCCAGAGGCATTGTGGAACTCCGGTTCTGGGTGTTTGTGAGCCACCTGGTGTGGGTGCTGGGACTCTAACGTGTGTCCTTCAGAAGAGAAGAGCACACTCAGCTGCTGAGCCGTCTCCAGCCCCACTTTGTCAGTTGTTACTTGACTCATCCAGACCCTGAGGTGCATGTGTTCTTAGGAGTTCGTTCACGACAGTGTGATGTGGACCTGGGAGTGGGTGTCTTTCTCTCCGCTCAGAAACAGCAGTCGCTATTTTCAGAAGAGGACGAGTACACCACTGGGTCTGAAGTCACTGAAGACGAAGTCGGTGATGAAGAAGAAGTGGCCAAGAAACAAAGTAATGGCTTCTGAGTTCAAATCAGCGCTCACTGTTTATGGAGAGTTATACTCTGAATCTTCTGAGGCAGGGCGTGGGTGATTGGAGTTACATGTCTACATGTAAGGTCACCCTGAGAAAAAGAAACAGGAAGGAACCCCCATGAAGATCCCTAACCCAGGCTGGCCTGACGGCCCGCGGCTAAAGGCACTTACTGCCAAGCCAGTACCTGGAGCCCACATGGTAGAAAGAACCCATCATGTAAGTTGTCCCTCTGACCTCCACATGGGCATGTGTGCCATAGTGCTCACGTGTGCACACGAACACAGGACAAAGGAAATAAACAACCCTGATGCTCTGTGTATATTGTCTTGACTCTTAAAAAAAAAAAAAAAAAAAAAAAAAAAAAAAAGATGACTGAGCACCTTGCCCTTCCACAGGACCCGAGTTTGATTCTCAATGCATCAAGTATTATAAACCTCCTGTCTTCAGCCATTAAATTTTAATATTAATTATTGATTTCTATGAATGCTTTTCTCGGTTGAGAAAGCTCATTTCTATTTCTGCATTGCTAGGTTTTCGTAGTGAATGGACATTGTAATTTATGAAATGCTTTTTTCTTTTTTTGACTGTTAAGATCATATAGATTTTTTCCCTTCATTATTGCAATATAATACTGATTGACTCTTCAAGTGTTATATTGCTCTTCTGGGTGAGCTCCATTTGTTAAAAAGATATTATGTTTATGTTTTATATCATTTTACTTGCTACTAATAAATTTTTGTTGGTGCCTATTGGAATACTTTCAGTTCTCTTAGGATTTTTTCCTCTTTGAGTTTTGATATCAAGTTAATCATAACCTCCTAAATTAGAAAGTCTATTCACTTTTTTGATAGGGGAGGAGATGGGGCTAGGGACTAAACCCAGGGTCTCAGGCTGCTAAGCAAGGGCTCCATCACTGAGCAACCGCCCCAGTCTGTACCCCTTTTCCATAATAGCACGTTGCAGATTGCCTCCCATAAATCATGATAAAATTCAGCAGTGAAGCTCTCTGGGCCTAGTTTCCATTTCACACTTTGTGTTTACTAAAGAACATTTTTCTTTTAAATAGAGACAGATTGGTCCTTGGGGTGGTGTGGTCCACATTCGGGGTGGGTCCCCCACCTCAGTGAGGTCTCTCTAGAGGTACTCTCACAGACACACAGCCAGGAATCTGAGCAGAGTTTTCATTAGACATCAGGACTCACCTGCTTATCGCTTCCTCTCTTCAGAGGTTCTCCATAGATTTTTAGTTGTTTTCCCAGACCCAAATCTGCCCTCTGACACTTTAAACTTAGCTGTCTGAAGCTTGAGGTATGTGAAGTTTGGAGAGCTAATTCAGTCAAAGGCACAGAAACTCCTCTGTCTCACAAGCATAGATAGCCTGTTAGGGGCTGGGGTTTCTCACACTGGCCAAGTTTAAGGTTCAGCTAAGTTATACTCATACTCCTTCATATTTGCAGCTTCTCCATTGCTTTAGATTATGTCATTTCCTCCCTGGGGCTGCTCAGGGTCCTGTGGAAAATGCCTTCAGGCTAGAGGACCCCAAATTCACAGTTCTTACCCCACCGAGTCTTCAGGTATAAATGCCTAACTCTATGCCTCAGTTAATTATTTCCCAATACTTTCAGATAGTTTTGATAAAATTTTTGTTGTTTTTGTGTCGCTTTTAACTTAGAAGGAATTGCCCATCCCTGTACCATGCCATTAATTACCATTGCTATATATCCTATTATTATGTCTTCTAGCAAATTTGTAACCCTTGATCTATATTATTAATTTTGCTGCTTCCTGCTGTGGTATCTTCAAGCTCATCATATATGCACGATATCTTACAAGTTTCCCATGCACATAGTGGCAAGATTTCCCTTGGAAAACGACAGTGTGAACTTGTGGAAGTAATGAACTGTGGAGAGTTCCCAGTACACCCTTCTTGCCTTTACGTTTTGTTCCCAGAGTACCATCTCTTCCCCTTTTCTCACCATGTCCACAGTCCACTTCACTCTTGGCCAGGACAGACTCAGGATATTGACTTAAAAATGCCACCGTCCAGAATATCATTTGTCCAGCCCTGCTTCCCAAGATCATTCTGCCTTGCATCCTTCCTGAGCAAAATTCATTTTGAACCTTTTGCACATGTATTGATGCCCTGTCTCTGTCCCTCATTCTCAAATTGTATTTTTTTTAAAGGTGATAGTAATTTATTAAATAAAAATCTTGGAGTTCTAAGACAATTCTACTGTCAAATTAGATTGGGAAGAATAAGTATGTATCCTCTGTGATACTGTAAGTTAGCACCAAAGTAGTGGGTTTTATTATGCCCTCTTTCTTTTTCCTTCCAAGATTTTTACCAGGCACAAAGAAGAAATATGATTTAAATGAATCCCTGTAAAGCAGCTTCAGTTTGACTTCCTCGTGTATTTGAGTTTTGTGTAGATATCATTGGTCTTTTTTCTTTCTTTCTCCTTCTTAAAAGTAGAATTGTTGGTTAAGTGTTGTTCTGTTTAGACGCAGCAGTGACATTGCAGGGTATGGGACTCGTGTTCTTAATATTGCCCTTTCTTTATCAGGGAAAAGGGAAAAGCCAAAGAAGTTTACTAAGCAACCAAAGAAGCAGCTGTCTTCACCCTGTTCTCAAAAGAAAGAAAAGGCGCTGGAGAAGGTAACTGGGCGGCCTGACTGGGCTTTGAAGTCACTTGAGTCGATAAGCATGTGTAGTCAGCACAGATCCAAATAGAGTATGAATAGCGGGATGCTAGCAGTGTAAGTGAGTGAGGGTGGAAGACTCGGGGACCTTTGGAAGACGCAAAGCAGTGCGTGGCTTAGCACACCACCCTTCGTGTAAAGAGATGGGGGAACACAGGCTTTCTTCCGTGTGCATAAACCACCCATATGGAGCTGCACAGGCAATTAGTGAGATTAATTGCTCCTTTTGACACTTTTTATTACATGTGCTATCTAGCCTTTTAAATTTTAACCAGTAGTACATATTTATAAACAGTAAGTAGACTTTTAAAATTGAAGTATATTCTGTTTTATGACCTAAAAATGAACTTTTATTTTCTTGTGCCATAGAAGAGACAAAATTCCAGAACAGTAGTAGCTGCAGGTGACTAGAGAGAATCCCTGAGTTCCGAAACGGTATGAAAGGCTAGATCCATAGTTACATTGGCTAGATTGCACATTGACCTTAGTTAATCAAGTACTGCAGATGTGTGGATGGGTTAATTTTTCAAGACTGCATAAGCTTAAGGTTCCAAGTTCAACAGATAGACATTCAAAGTCTATTTTTTTTCTCTTTGAAGAAGTTTCTTAACTTCTCTGGACCTGTTTACTATGAAGGTCATATAGTGCTTGTTGCACTGTTATAGACCTTGTTGCTGCAAGGGCTATTTGTTTTTCTTTAGTTTATATTAAAACAGGGTCTTACTATGTAGCCCTGGCTGGCCAGAGCCTTGGCTGGCCTGAAGCACACTATGTTGGCCAGGCTAGCCTTCACTAATGGAGCCCTGCCTGCCTCTGCTGGGATTGAAGGTGCCCACCACTCCCAGCTGTTGTTGCAAGATGTAAATGAAATAACAGTTTTAGATGCTCTTGGTGTCTTGTACTCAATAATGTAAATTGTTCTTATAATTAATGAGAGTACTAATCAATAAATATGCTCTAACTAGGATTAATGTTGTCTTCTTTTTCTTGTAGTCAACTTCTAGAGATGTGTCTCCTTTCGTGTGAGTATTTGTTCCTTGATCCAATTGGAAATCCATTCTTTGTGTTTGTTTGGTTGGTGTTTGGTCTTGAGACAGTCTGTGCTGGAAGCGTACTCTCAAACAGCATCAATGGTTGTTTTGTTCAATTTATCCAATAGTGTGAGCATGCAGAAGAATAAGTGGGATGCCACAAGATCCTTGAGATTCAACCAGGATGCACAAAGAGAAGATGGTAAATTTTATTATCTGAGTAACATCAAGTTAGGTATAAATAACCATGTTTTTATTACTGTGTGTACATTTGGGGGGGTAACTGCAGGTGAGGCTGGAAGAGGGCATCAGATCTAGGGTTGGAGTCACAGGCAGCTGTGAGCTGCCTGATACGGACTTGATATGGGTGCTGGGAACCAAACTTGACTCCTCTTGGAGAAGAGTTTGTGCTCTTAACCACTAAACCATTTCTCTAGCCCGACTTGTCTTTTATAAAGTATGCTGAGTAGTTTTAAAGGTTCCAAAATAATGTGCACATTCTCTTAGGCCCCAAGCAGAATTTCATCACTAGACCATCTAGAGGGTCGTGTGTTGTCTATACATCTGTGACTGAGGTCTCTTAGACTTATTTTTATATCATATTTTTACTGTAAAAATGACTAAATATATTTTAGGCTGTGTCTTAGCCTCATGTTCTTACAACAAAATCCTCAAAGCTGAGTATTTTAAAAGAAAAGAAGTTCATTTAGCTTAGTTTTGCAGTACCAGTAAGTATCTCCTTGGCTCTGGTGAAAGCCTTCTGGCTCCAGTCCCAGCATGGTGAATGGCATCATAGGAGCATGTTTAAGAGAAAGCAGTTGCATGCCAAAAAAGGAAGCAAAAGAAATGATTTTTGTATCAACTTAACCCTAGAGTAACTAAACAGGGTTACACAATAACTACATTGATCTCTTCTAGGACTAGTGGCCCCAGTGAGATAACCACCAGGTCCCAGCTCTTAAAGGTTCTGGCACCCCTCAATATTGCCACAGGGGTCAGAGTTGTACCCCACGATCCTTTGGGGGACATATTCAGCCACATCCAGGAATCTGAAAGGCAATACAACTGTCTATATATTAGTCATTTACTACATGCTACCTTAAATTCCTCACAGATATGTAAAAGTATGTACCTGAAATGAATAACAAAGATATTTTCATAATCCTTTGTTGATTACAGTCTTTCTAGAAAAGTAAAAACTATGTTATTCTCATGAAAAGTAATGCTCTATTTTTTTTACCTTCAGATCAGCGGCGGATGTCTGAAATTACAGGGCACCTAATAAAAATGAGATTGGGTGACCTGGACCGAGTCAAGTCAAAGGAATCAAAAGAAGTAAGAATTATTTACCCGTGTGCTAGACTTAAGTAGAGTTTTCCTTCCTAGTTTTATTCCATCATGAAAAATAGTTAACTATTGTCTTAGTTAGGGTTTCTATTGCTGTGAAGAGACAACATGACCAAATCAACTCTTAAAAAGGTTAGCATTTAATTGGGACTCAGTTCAGAGGTTTAGTCCATTATTGTCATAGTGGGAAGCATGGCAGCACACAGGCAGACATGGTGTAGAGGTAGCTGAGAGGTCTATGCCTGGATCTGCAGGAAGAGAGAGTGACATTGGGCCTGGGTTGAGCATCTGAAACCTAAAAGCCCGCCCCCAGTGACACTTCCTTCAACAAGGCCACACCTCCTAATAGTGCTATTATACAATACTTGTGTGAAGTGTTTCTTTCTTGTTTTGTTTTTAGCATGAAAAATATAAAGATGTTTTTTAAAGGATGTTAAAGGAGCATCTTAGATATTTTTT